TATATATATATATATATATATATTTAAAAACATTTATTATAACTGACCCAAAATTATAAAATAAATAATAAATACATAATAAAAAAAAACTCTAGTGTTACAATAACAATATAATTAATACAACATCAACTAAAAAGTGAAGGAGGGAATTTTTTTTTTCTTTTCCGAAAGTGATCAACGTGAAGGATATATTTAAGGGTTGAAAAAATGTAACAAGTTGAGAAAGCTTTTCTCTGTCGCATTGGTTCGAATGCTTCCACAATTAAGCACCATGGAAATCACAATTTTTTTGGATAGGTCTTACCTTTGAATAGGAAATAGAGTTGATAAATAAAATGCGATATATATTTTGTATTTTTTTAATAAATTTTGGTCAACAATAAATATTATATTAAAAAGACTATTCTTGATTTTTTTTATAAAAAAAATTATAATTTTTAATAAATTTTAGCTAATGATAATAAGAGTAATAAAGAAATTATTTATAGCATTTCTCTTGCCAATACGATCAATTTATTACAAATTTCGAATCATGTATACACATTGCCTGAATTTTTCTCTGTATTAGAATATCTCTTCTTTTTGTTAAAAAGCTATTTGGAAAGAAGCATCCCACAAATTGACATGAAAAGCCACGTAGATTCTTTTGTATGTCCTTTTGACATATGTGATAACAAAGTTACAAGAGTTTCTTTAAATTTATTTTGTATACAATAGTTCAGTTAAAAGAGTGCCACTTTATAAAGTATATTCTCTATTAAATGCTGAATATCTTTATTCCCCATTTTCTACTTTTTCAAGCAACTTTACTGCAACAGATTCTGATTTTCAAATTCCCCCGACTAATCAATTCTCAACAATTAATATTGTTATTCAGTGCTATTATTATGCCTTTGCCCCCTTTTTAAATCATGTGATTGGAAAATGCTTTAATGTAACATCATTTGTAAGAAATTTTATGTTTACATCATAATCTTTTGCAGTGCTACAATTATATGGGAAAGCCCTTAGTTGAGGGATCGTATAATAGATGGAGCTAGCCTCATCTAATCCTAAACATCAACATCATATTTTTTTTATATAGTTATGTTATTAGTATAAATTATTCACTGTTGCATCACTTTTCACAATCATTTTTTCTTCATCTACAAGATTAAAATTCAAGACCTCAACTAATGAAATTGAGTTTTTCTTCATCATCATGTTATTTTTAAGGTGATAAGGCCAAAAATTTAATAAAAAAACTCTTGATAGGTGGAGGAAAATATAATGTAAAAGTTGCATGTGATGTACAACATTGGATAGGGCTAATTATGAAATTAGAGATTTCATTCTTCATGCAGACGACTTGAATAGGTTGTTTCAATAATGTGCCAGTTTAGTCACATAAATATAGTTAGTTCAAATTATGATAACTTTTTTTGAAATTGAACTATGTTATTTTATGAACTTTGGGTTGATTCTAAATGTGAAGTTTATCGCAAGAATCTATGCATAAACTCATGACTAAATTTATACAAACTAATTGAGGACATGTAGCATTGTAAAAGCATTGGTTTGAAAATCTTTTCTATTTTCATTTTTTAATTTCACTTCTACTTATAAAAAAAAGCCACTTTACTTTTACTTTGTAATGAAAAATAAAAACAAAAAAAATGAAAACAGAAAACATTTTATGAACCAAACAGGGGTTAATCCACATGTATTACACTATTATACAAACTTTTAAGGTAGTATGGACAGTTTAACACTAACTCTACCTTTCATGCATAACATATCCACTATGGTAACTCTCATGCACCCATTCAAGAACCGAGTGCTAACAAAGTAAAAGAGCAAAAAATAATATTCAAAACTCATGACAAACTAGTTTGCAAAATGGATACCCTTTCACCACCCATGACATGAATACAAAGCACGTGTATGAAGGAGAAGAAGGACTCATCCTCTTTTTCCAACTTGTTATCTTTCACTTTCCTAGATATCACTGCATTTGAAATGTGTTTGGTTGCTTTGCTTGTGCAAGCATTTCAACTACTTCCCTCATGGTTGGTCTCTCCACACTGTGTTCATGAACACACAACATTGCCACAAAAAACACTTGCTTTGCTTCATCTAAAGGAATGTTATGCAGCCTCTCATCAAGGATCTTCATCACCATCTCTTTGTTCCAATTAGTTTGCATCTTGGTCCATTGAACAATGTCTAATCCTTCTTCTCCAAAGTCCCCCACTGGCCTTCTCCCTGTTATCAGTTCTAGCAGCACCACTCCAAAGCTATAAACATCACTTTTCTCATCCACTTTCAATGTGTATGCATATTCTGCAACATAAATTAAAATCAGTGAGAAAAATTGCTTGATTTCTCTACTTAAGCTTAGGCAAGACTATATAATAAACTTGATCTTATATATAGAGAGCCAGATAAAAAGTTTAATTTTCATGCATTATTAGCAAAAAAAAAAAAAATTTACACAGTCAACCAATATATATAAGACATCATAATAGGAATAGTTTTTAAGATATATTTACAGAAAAATTCAACGATAGGAAAATTTGTGATCACATGACAGTGTAGAAAAAATTACACCAGCAAAACATAGAGTACTATTTTCAAAATGTAGATTTTTTATTCAAATAAATGGTATCAGGTAAAAGGATAAAATTATTAATTTAATCTAATAATAAATAAGAAAAAGAAGGGTAGGGAAGACTAGTCCAATGTTATTTTACTGATAAAGGGAAAAGCTTCATTTTAATTTTCCAATGTAGCAATTTAAACTTGTGTAAAGGTGATCAACTTGTGTCTTGTGCCTAAAATCTTCACGTTTCTCTTTTCTTCTGGGGTTTTGAGAAAGTGAATCTTAGATCTCAATCTGAAACTTTGAGGGGGTAAAATATATGCATTTGGTTAATGTGCATTTAGTGACTGTAACAGATTTGATAAAGGGTGATGGTCATAAAGGGATGGCTGTGATTTGTTCTTCTGGTTTAAGGGTTTGTAGTTTCAAGGCATGCAAAAGCACACACCCAGTTAGCGTGAAGAAAAAAAGTGAAAAGAATTTCCTCTGTGTTAGTGGAGCCTTTACTCACTCAGTCTAGGAATCCACGTACATGGTGTTGGACACTGTGGTCCCAGAAAAAAAAAAAAAAAAAAAAAAAAAAAAAAACCAAGTACATTCTACAGTAGTTGAGAGAGGCAAGAATATTTTCTACCCAAAAACAAATGAAAAGTATATTTAATCCGTGACCCTTTTTTGCTATGAAATTTTGATTTTAACTATTCAAAACAAGAGCCAGAATGAATCATTCATGTTGTTGCACGCTAGGATTTTCACTCATTTCAATTGGTCAAACCAATTTCAACTCGACATGTAACCAATTTTTCAGTTTACAAGAAAGAGTTAAGCAATAATGTCTTCAACATGAAGTTAGTGATGCTAACCAATTAGATTGAGACAGCATATAGATATAGATCTACGTGAAGTTATCAATTATAATCTCACAAATTATATAGTTGAATATTTAAAATACCTGGAGCAATATAGCCATAAGAACCAGCAATGGAAGACATGCATTCTGATGCACCATTATCTTGCATGAACTTGGCAAGTCCAAAATCAGCAACATGAGCCTCAAAATCAGAGTTCAACAAAATGTTGTTTGACTTGACATCTCTATGGATGATCAAAGGGGAACAATCATGGTGCAAATAGCAAAGTCCTTTAGCAGCTTCTATGGCTATTTTGAGCCTAGTATCCCACTTGAGAAACTCACCCCTCTTCCCATGCAACACTTCCCCCAAGCTTCCATTTGGCATGTAATCATAGACAAGCAAATTGGTCTCTCTGTTTGAGCAAAATGCTAGCAACCTCACGATGTACCTGTGTCTGATTCTTCCCAGTGTTCTAATCTCAGCAGAGAGGCCATTGTCATGGGAAGAACCTTTGTTGATTCCTAATAGCTTCTTCACTGCCACTTCCTCTCCCTTTGGCATGGTTCCTCTGTACACAACCCCAGATCCACCTCTTCCTATCACATTGCTTTCCTTTATGCACCCTATGATGTCCTCACTCCCATATTCCAGCTTCTGGAATGCTGTTATCTTCCATGAATTGGATTTCCTCCTTGTCTTTCTACTCTTGATGATGGCCAAGGTTGCAAACACCAATGAGCACCCCAACAAGGCCAATGCAAAAAGGAACTTGAATTTCCCAGGGACCCCAGGTTTTGAACTGCCTTTTTGTTGAGATTCCAACACTGCTGTTGAAGAAAGGTTGCATGGCTTGGAGACATAGCCACATAGCTGAGGGTTGCCAACAAAGGATGTGGAATTAAAGATTGAGAATTGCCCTCCCTCAGGGATTGAGCCTGAGAAGTTATTGTGAGAGAAATCTGCTGAAGTTAAGCCCTTCATGGCCCTGAGTTCCTTGGGAAGACTTTGGTTTAGGTGGTTCCATGAGACATTGAGATAGTTTAATATGTGAATTCGAGCAACTTGGACTGGAATAGGGCCTGAGAGTTGGTTTTGGCTCAAATCTAAATAGGTGAGTAAGACACAGTTACCTATCTCAGGTGGAATAGTGCCAGAAAAGTTGTTGAAACTTATATCCAACTTGAGAATACTTTTCAATCTCCCTATATCTGGTGGGATTTCTCCTGAGAATCTGTTTCCACTAAGCATAAGAATTTGCAAGTTTGGAAAATTTGCAATTGTGGTTGGAAGAGACCCTGAGAAGCGGTTGTTTGATAGGTTCAGCTGTGCTAGTTTGGAGGGTGTGTTGCTTGTTGATTGTGGAAAGCCACCACTAAGATAATTGTTCTGTAGCTCCACAAGAGATAGCTGAGGCAAATAAAGAAACCCAAGTGGAAGTGGCCCAGTTAAATAGTTTTGTCCCAAACGGACTCTTTGGAGTGTGTGGCATTTACCAAGTTCATAAGGCAAAGATCCATAGAGAAAGTTCTTCAGCAGGATCAAAATT